AGCTGTACCAGCCATCATCGCAACCACCACCACCATCAGCACCAGCTCCAGCATCATTACCAGTCATTCCCACCATCACCATCATCATCAGCAGCAGCATAATCATCGGCATCCCCGTCATCATCATCATCACCACCATCATCATAATTATCGGCATCATCATCCTGATCATCAGCACAATCACCATCACCGTCACCATCACCAACACCCTCATCACAATCAGCATCGCCAGCGCCATCTGCAGCCTCACCATCACCATAATGATCAGCATGTTTATCAGCAGCATCATCAGCATCGGCAACAGCAGCCGCATGATCATCATCATCAGCATCATCCTCTTCATCATCATCAGCATCATCGTCGTCGTCCTCATCATACTCAGCATTAGCAGCATCACCAGCAGCAGAAGCAGTATCATCAGCATCATCAGCATCAACATCAACATCGTCATCAGCATCCTCACCAGTGTCGTCGTCACCACCATCATCATCATCATCAGCAGCACCTCCATCGTTATGACCATCAGCATCATTGTCACCATCATGAACGACCTCACCACCACCACCAACATCACAATCAGCATCATCATTATCATCAGCAGCTGCATCATCAACAACAGCGTCATCATGATGATCATCACCGCCACTATCACCGTCATCCCCCACATTATCATTACCCTCCCACTTCCGCCTCCTCCTCCTCTCATGTAAATCCTCGCAGTGCGTTTCCTCATGGTGTTCCTCCTTCTCCTCCTCCTCCTCACGTTCCGATTCCTCCTCCCCCAATCCTGCTTCTACTTCTCGTCCTCCTCATCCTCCTCCTCCTGCTCCTCCTCCTCATCCTCCTCCATCGACGTCCTCGGCCTCCTCAGCCTCACCCTCCTGCTCCTCCTTCATTACTGCTCCTCCTCCTCCTCCCCCTCCCACTCCTACTTCTCCACATCATCTCTATCACCGTCACCATCATTACCAACAGCATGATAACCATTACCACCGTCATCGCCAGGTCATCATTGTATGTCCCCTCCTACTCCTCCTCCTCCAACACTTCAGTATCATCCTCCTCAGCATCCTCATCCTCGAATTTCGATTCCTCATCCTGATTATCCTTCTCCCCATCTCCCTAATCCTATTAATCCTTCTCGTCTCCTTCCTCCTACTCATCCTCGCGTCATGTTCCTCACCCTCGTCCTGGTCATCCTCCTGGTCCTCGTTCTGCTCTCCCTACTGGTACCGCTGCTGCTGCTGCTGCTGTTCCTCCTCCTCCTCCTCATTCTCCTACTCCTCCTCATTATCCTCCTCCTCTTCATCCTCCTCCTCCCCTCTTCCCATTCATCCACTTCGGCCTCGTCAGATCAGAATCTCAGGGGTCGGAACGGCAAATGAGGGAAGGGATCTGAATTGCATTTATTTCTATCGAGGAGGACAGACAAAAGGAACCAGGATCGGAAGGAAGGAAGAGAAAACCGAAAGTAAGAGAAGAGGAGGAAGAGAAGAGGAAGGAAGGATGAAAGAGAACAATGATGAGGGTAAGGAAGAGGAGGGGCGGATGGAGAAGGAAGGACACACGTTCATCCCACAAGGACGCCGGGCGGCCAGAACAGGGACGGCGACCGAAACTAAGTCATGCGTTTTCACTTGGAACGTACTCTGGAGTCCCACCGGCCATCTGGGCCGAGGTTGCTTATGGGGGTTCCTCTTCAAACTTTTTACTTAAACCTCTCTCCCTACCCTCTGACCCTGGGTCTGCAACCCCCCCACCACCAGACCCTCCCCATCCCTCCCATCCCCGCCCCACCCCCCCTCTCCGCCCTCTTCCCATCCACCCCCCACTCACCCACCCTCAAACTCAAATTCAAAATTCTTCCTCCACCCCCCCACCCAACCCCCTCCACCCCCCTCCACCCCCTCCCACCTCCCCCCTGCACTCCCCCCTCCACACCCCCGCTGCCACCCTTCCACCCTTCTTCACCTCCTCTGGAGTGCCCCAGGAGCTCCCTAGAAAGGTCTGACTACACCCTTACCGCCCCTTCCTCTTCCTCTGCTAGTTTTCTATAGTTTGTCTGCTCGCCCACTTCCCTGTTGCTGCTGTCCCTCCCCCTCCGCCTCATCCTCCACCTCGTCCTCCTCTCAGGCATCGTCATCGTCATCGCCATCGCCATCGCCATCATCATCATCATCATCATCATCATCATCATCATCATCAGCAGCAGCATCATCATCATCAGTATCATCATCATCAGCATCATCATAATGATCAGCATCATGATCATGATCTGAATCATCATGAGCATCATGAGCATCATAATGATCATCGTCATCATCAGCAGCAGCATCAGCAACATGATCATCATCATCACGATCAGTATCACCATCATCATCAGCAGCAGCATCATCATCATGAGTAGCATCATCATCAGCAGCATCAGCATCAGCATCAGATCATCATCAGCATCCTCATCGTTAGCATCATCGCGATCGCCATCGCCGTCATCATCATCGTCATCATCGTCATCATAATCATCATCAGCATCATGATTATCAGCATCAGCATCAGCAGCATCACCATCATCATTAGCATCACCATCATCATTAGCCTGAGCATCAGCATCAGCATAGGCATCAGCATCATCATAACCATCATCATTATGATCATACTCATCATCGTCGGCATCATCATCGTAATCATCAGCATCACTATCGCCATCGCAGTCAGCATCAGCATCATAGTCATGATCATCATAATCGGCATCCGCAGAATCATCACCATCATCATGATCATCATCATCCACTCCGTCATCATAGTCATCATCAGCATCAGCATCTCATCATCATCATCCTCACCATCATCATCATCAGCAGCAACAGCCACCGCATCAACAGCATCATCCGCAACATCATGGTCATCGCCATCATCATCAGCATCACCATCTCCAGCACAATCATCAGGCTCAGCATCATCAGCATAATTACCACCAGTATCCATCGTCCCCAGCATCATCAGCAGCATCACCATCACCACCACCACAAGCACCACCATCGTCATCATCGCCATTATCATCAGCATCAGCACCATCATCAGCATCAGCATCATCAACGTCTTGATCAAACTCATCAGCATCATTGCCAGCATCATCATAATCACCATCAGCAGCATAAGCACCATCACCATTAGCATCGTTATCATCATCGCCATCGACAGCATCATCATCGCCATCATGACCAGTAGCAGCAGCACCGTTATTACCATCATCAGCAGCATTATCATCAGCAGCAACATCATCGTCCTTACCATACTCAGCATCACGATAACCATCAGCATCGTCATCGTCATCATCCTAATCCTCATCGCCATCCTCCTCCTCCTCCTCCTAATCATCGAAGGCGCGCCGCTGGATCTGCCTGGGGGGGGGTGGAACCAGTCACCCCCCATTACTCCATACTCACTGCTCACTACTCCCAACTCACTACTCACTACTCCCAAGTCACTACCAACCTGATCACTACCCGCTACCCAATACTCAATACTCACTAAACACTACTCACAAACTATTCACTATTCACTACTCACTAATCACGACTCACTAAGTCAGTAGTCAGTACCCACTACGCAATACTCACTAAACAATACTCAATATTCACTAGCCACTACTCACTACTCACTAATCACTACTCACTACCATTACCTACTATCCACTACTCACTACTGAATACTCACAATTCACAAATCACGACTCACTGCCCACAACTCACCACTCACTATCCGCTGCGCGTTACTCGCTACTCCCTGCTCCTTACACAGTCTTCACTGCTCACGACTCACTACTCACTACTCGATACTCCCTACTCGCTACCCGAGACGCAATATTCACCACCCACTACGCACTACGCACTACTCACTACACACTAGTCCCTACTCCCTACCCCCCTCTCCCTAGTCACTAGTCACGAGTCACTACTCACTAGTCACTACTCAGTACTCAGTGTTCACGACTCACTACTCACTACTCACTGCTCTCTACTTGCTACTCCCTACGCACTACCCACTACTCAGTACCCACTTCTCAATTCTCACTACTCACTACTTACTTCTCCCCACTCGTCACTCACTACACATTACTAGCTACTCACTACTCTCTACTCACTACTCCCTACTCACTACTCACTACGGACGACTCCCTCCTCACTACTCACTACCCACATTGCCCTACTCGTTACTCACTACTCACTACTCGCTACCCCCAACTCGCTATTCACTACTCGCTACCCACTCCCCACTTCCCACAACTCAGTACTCACTACTCACTACTCATTGCGCACTACTCACTACTCACTACTCACTAATCGCTCCTCGCTACTCGCTACTATCTGCTCTCTACTCACTATGCCACAACTCACTACTAACTAGTAACTACTCACTACTCTCGACTCGCGCCTCACTACTCACTATCCCGAAGCCAGACCCCCCCCCCCCCCCCTGCGGGAGAGGCCCCCTCCCCGGCCCCCTGCTCGGCGAAAGGGGGGAAGGGGAAGGGTTCGAACTCCCCCCCCCTTCCAGCGCAAGGAGGGAGAGGAAGGAGCCCAGCCTTCATGGCGGGAGGGGGGGGGGGGGAGGGGTTCGGACCCCCCCCCCTCGCCGGGGGGAAGGGGCGGGAAGGTTTGCAAATCCCCCCCCCCCCCCCCATGAAGGGCGAAAGGGGGGGGGGGTCGTGCGAGCGGGTTGGGGGGCATGACGGAGGTCCGCGTTTCTATGATTTTCATATCGCTGACGATGATGAATGCGATGATTGGGATGCTTTGGGCTCTCGGCGGCGCAGATGATGACGGCGCAGATTATGTTTGCTATCTCAGGCTCTCGGGCGCGGGCGCACTCTGGCCTGGCGCGCGGCTACTGTCAGTCGAGCGAGAATGGAAAACGCATCCACTCTTTATAAGCTGGCCCATCGGGCCCCCAAGGCCGCTGGCGCGACCAAGCTCGCGCAATGGCAAAAGTGCTCAGACCTTTGGCGAGAGGCACGTAGTAGTACTTCTCACCCATCAGAGCGTGGTCCATGCTGAGGTAGCAGCGCGCCTGGTACTCGTTAATCGCGTAGCGCCACTTCACTCGGTCCGCGTAGTTCAGGAGCTTGCCGCCGTACTTGGCCTTCAACCACCTCTTCAGGATGCCCCACTTGCTCTCGATGGCGTCGATGGTGAAACCCCTGGCGTTAACGATCTCGCCATCATCGGAGTCCACTAGCCCGCGGCGCAGGGTGTTCTGCGCGAGCCCCTTCTGGCGGCGAATGGATTTCACGGATGATAAGGTCGCGCCCCTTTTGTCCGAGACAATGATGTCGCCCTTGCTGAAATCAGCTTGTCGAGGTTGTCATTCATCTTCTTGCGTCCACGGGGCTCGCCGTCCTTCGCGCCCACGGGGCGCCCCAAGACGCGGCGCGCGAAATGCGTCGGGCTTCCCCCTGCAGCACGGCGCCCCACATCCAGATGTTGCCCTTCTTGGGGCGCGCCGCCTTGTTCAACTTCCCTGGCTTGTTTTGGCTCAGGAGCGACTCGTCGGCAATGGGCGCCTGCCTCGCGAACTTCATGGGCACCTTCCGCGCGGGCTTCTCCCACTGCTGCGCGACCTTCATGGATGGGGGCTTTCTTAGGCGCGGGCAGAGCAGCGGGCCGCTTGCGCACGCCGCCCCCTGGCGCCCACGGTCTCTGAATCGAGATTGGGCGGGCGAGGTCGCACCGCTCGCTCGCGCGCCCCAAAAAGGCGAGCAGCCACGCGTCGATTACCCCGTGGCCGACGTGGGACAGACAGCTCGCAGATGACGGTTTCGCGGCTGTAGTCAGCGAACCACATGACCAAGCAGTCGAGCTTGCCCATCCAATGCCCCGCACGCGCGCCATCGCAGAACGCCATGTCAGCGGCGCTGCCCCCCCCCCCCGCTGCGCGAGTCGCAACCCCCCGTCGCGCCGAGGGCCCCGCCAAATCAGCCGCTCTCCGCAATCGCCCCTCTTCCCGCACGACAGCACGCACTCCTCGTCGCACGAGGGGCGCGCCGCGTGGTCAGGGGCGAGCCCGAACGCCCGGGCACATGCGAACGCCCCCCCAACCTCGCCGTCTGGCAACACCTCTGGGTTCTTGACAGCGGCGCGCCTAACTTTCTTGAGGAACCCCCCGCGGCTGATTCCGTCCACGTCCGTGACGGCGGCGGAGAACTCGCCCCAGTTGTCGTAGACGGCCACGCTGGTAGAAGCGCGCTGATAGCTCGGGGCGCGGGAGGCGAGCGCCAGGGGCCGCGATAGGGCGATCGAGCCAGGGCGGCTACCACGGACAAGCAACGGCGACGACCCAACGCAGGGCACTGCGCCGACCAGCGCTCATTGACCAACATCACATGCCATGCTCTGCAGAGCGAGAGAGAGGAGGATCTATGAAACAACGCACTTATATGTTTCAATTTCCGCCCGTTCGCTGCACGAGCTCGCCCGGAGATTCTCCTTTCCCAACAGTAGTTCAAGGTCAGCTAAAACAATATGCAGATACTGTTGTGCCCATTGGCGGTGTAATAGCTTCGCATGCGTCGCATACTACGCTGGCAGAGACATCGCCCGCAATGAGATAATGCAAATCCATACTGGCAGCCGAACTCAGGGAACGCCGAGAAACATCACCCCTCGACATAGCGCGGCGAACTACGTGGGCCGCTGCTTCACTCGCGCCCTCACAGGCGACGACGCGTTGAACGCGTCCAGGGCCTCCTTCAGCTGCTCCACGGTGTCACCAATCAGATTGACCACCATGCCGTCGAACATTAGCACCGATACGTTGTACGACTGCAAGTGCGACTGAAAAGTCCCAACCAGGCGCTGCAAGTGGTTGTCTTCCTTTGTGAAGCACAGTGCCGCCAGGCGAGACGCCGCGGGGTTCAGGCGGTTGTTGTACATGCTGGCAAAATGAGAGTACCTGGGGAGTTCGATGAGCTCGGCCGAAAGTTGGTGCGACTCCGCTGATACAGCCCAGAGGAGGGGGTTGCCGTCCCGCGGCTTGGCGCCGAATACAATCTTGTAGATCGTCTGTTTCACCTCTTTCCCGTCCATGCTGTGGTGTTCGGCCAAGAAGTCCTTGTACCCGTCGGGGTCGGTTGCAATCATCACGATATGCTCGGGCGCGCGTCGGCGATCGCCTTGACGACGGACAAGACGGAGCTCACGAAGTCGACATCGAAGAGGGGGAACAGAAACAAGAGAATTGCAGGAGGAGGGCGCGGAGGAGCAGGAGGAGGAGGAGATGCTGCCGACAGACTCTGGCGCCGACGGTCCCTGGCGCTGCCAACTGCCCCAGGGGGCTGGGCCCTGGGGAAAAAGGTCCCAGCACAAAAAAAATGCCCCCTGCTGCAGTGGTCTCGTTTTTTTGTGTTTTGTTTCCAGGCGGGGCCGGAAAAAAATCTGGGCCAGTGGATTCAGGATTTTTGTTTTGCTGGGACCTTTCCCCCAAGGCCAGACCCTCTCGTCCCCCGCCACAAAAAGAATCAATGTGCACCCCCTCACACAACGGGAACGTATTTGTAACCCCCCACAAAGGGAATCGCTTTGTAATTCCGCCACGAAGGGAATCTATTTGTACACCCCTTGAAAGGAATTCCATTTGCAATCCCCACAAAGGAAATCAACGTGTACCTCCTCGCACCAAAGGGAATCAATCTGAGCGTCCTCCACAAAGGTGGAGACAGCGAGAGGGAAAGAGAGGGAGAGAGAGAGAGACAGAGAGAGACGGGGAGAGAAAGAGAGAGAAAGAGAGAGGAACTTACAAACTCAAAAACGCGAGCCTCCGCTATGCCCCCCTTACCCCGAGCGGGTTGGGGCACCCCACCCCTTTTCAATTACAGGGTGATCCAGTGGCGCGCTTTCCTAATTATCAGCACCATCATCATTATCATCCTCCTCATCACCATCGCCATCAGCATCGTCATCGCCATCCTCTCAGATCTTCAACAACCTTCTTCTCCTTCCCAGTGGAAAGAAGGCGAAGGCAAGCTTGGTCTCCCTTCGCTGTCTGTGCCACTGCATGTTGCGACGCTTCCCCCTCCAGGGAAACACGCCTAGACATCGTTTCTGGATGGGCTGGTGGGGATACACTTTTTTGATTCGCGGCCCGCAGGGAAAAGTCCAGAGGGCGGTAAGAACGAGGCTGGGACACAGCGCACGGGAAGCATATAATTAACGGCGCAGCACTGAGCCGGCCGAGAAGCAGCTGAGCGTGTGCCAGCAGCAAAAGAAACGCTGAGCATCTGCCAGCGGCTGGTGGGGATACACGAAGCGTCAAGAATATACCCAACCCATCCGCAGGCACCTGGCGCCTCGAAACAAAACGAAGCGATCAGTTTGCTGTCATGCGTGGGCTCTGGAAAACCGCTTCGGGCTTCAGGACAATCACAAGACGGCTCGGAACGAAAGCACCGCCCTGGAGAGAGTGTCGAGAGGTCCGGAGGCCCACGCATCGAACAATTCGAAGCGCCGAAAAGACTGGGTCTGCGACGTCTCTGCTCGCCGCCTTGCGCCGCGGCTCGCGCGGGCCGCCAGCGCGAGACGCCACACTGGAGGCGGGGGCGCACATGCGCGACCGTACGCGGGCGGCTTGCGCGCCAATGCCGGTCCAGACGACCTCGTTGGCGTGCGTCGCCCACGTGCTTCTGCAACAGCCATGCGGGCGGAGGGGGTCTCCTTCTCGAACACGTGCTCTCGATCGTAGATCACTGGATGCTACGGAGGCGGAGCCTGGTACAAATGTGCGACAGCTACACGGACGGAGGGGGGGTCCTTCGGAAAACGGGGCTGCCGCTGGAGTAGAACGTCTGTGGCCCTGCGGCACGGCAGGAGAAATGCGCAGGGGGGGGGAGTCCGATCTGACGTTCGGCTCTCGCTTGACACACCCTGGACCTCCATAATCCTACATCGATCGCCAGATCCAGTTGGTACGAGGATGGGGGCGCCTTTGAAAGGCGGGGCCCTCGCACAGATGGCAGGCGTACTCTCTGGTTCTCCTCCCGTCTCCATCATCCCTGTTCCATCCTGCCTCCTCACTCCTCCCTCCCCTTTCCCTCATTCAACCTCGTCGTTCCTTCCTCCTCCCCCCTTCCTCCAATTCAATACATATATATATGAAACAATAAAATGTGTCCTTCCTTCCGCTTCCCTTCTCCCTCAACCCTTCGCCTCCTCCTCCATCCTTCGCCAGGATCTCCTCTCCTCCTCGCTCCTAAACATCCCTGGGAGCCACTTGGATCCGCAAGAACTCCTTAGAACTAATTAGGAACAACTAGACGTTACCTTGAAAGCGAAAGCCCCCTCCCGCGACCATCGTCATCGTCCACCTCGACCTCGTCATTGTCCTCATCGGGCCCCTCTTCCTCCTCCTCCTCCTCCTCCTCTTCCTCCTCCTCTTCCTGAGGCCATTATGATGGTGATAATGACGAGGATGCTGGTCATGATAGGTGGTGGTGATGACGCCAACGACGGCGACGATGGTGGCGATAGTAATGAATACGGTGGGTGCTGATGATGACGGTCATGGTGACGATGGCGATGAATGTCGATGATTGCAAATTACGATGACGGTGGTCCAGGCACCTCCGGGTGGCCAATGATGATGGTGCTCATGATGATGGCGATGATGATGCTGCTGCTGATGATGCAAATGATTATGATGACGATGGTGGGGATGATGATGATCATGCTGATGATGACGAGGAGAAGGAGGAGGAGAAGGATGATGATGAGGATGATGGTGGTGGAGATGATGATGACGACGACAAGACGATGATGATGGTGCTGGAGACGGTGGTGACGACGATCGGCGGGGAGGGGCTGGAGCGGCGGAAACTGGGCGCGGGGCTGCTGATGTAAGACCAGTCGTCCAGAGTCCGCCGGCGGCTTTCCGCGCTGCCGCGTCCAGGAGATCGAGAGGCCGCCGTGCTCCTCCTCCCACACCACCCTCCTCCCCATCCATCTCTCCCTCCCTCCCTCCCTCCCTCCTCCTTTCACCTCCTCCACATCTTCCCCCTTTACCCCCGCCTCCTCCCTCATCCCTCCCCCCTCCCTCCACACTCCCTCTTCCTCCTGCCCCCTCTTCATACGTTCTCCTCCTCCTCTCCTCCTGCTCCTGCTCCTCCTCCTCCTTCTCCGCCTCCTCCCCAGTCTCCTCTCCAGTATCCTCTCCCTACGCGCCGCTGCTCAATCCAAATGATATCAAGAACAGAAAAAGAATCATCATAATCACCACCATCACCATCATCATCGTCTTCCTACTCACCATCACCATCACCATCACCATCATTATCAGAATCATGATCATCATCATCAACAACAACATCAGCGTCAGCATCAGCATCAGCATCAGCATCATCATCAGCAACATCATCAGCATCATCATCGTCATCATCATCATCATCATCATCATCATCATCATCATCATCATCAGCATCAGCATCAGCATCAGCATCAGCATCATCATCGTTCTCATCGTCCTCACCAACATCATCATCAGCATCAGCATCATCACCATCATCAGCAGCATCATGTTCCTCACCAGTATCAGCAGCATCAACATCATCAGCATGTTCAGCATCAGCATCAT